GTCGCCCGGGAGCCACGGGATGCAGAGGAGCAATCGCCCCATCAGTCGCCGGCAATCAACGTCCTAAATAAAAACCACAGCAGAGAAAACCTGGGGTCCTCCCAGCCCAGCCGCCCGGCCTCCGCGGAGGATCCACGCTGCTTCCCAAAGGGAAAGCTGCGCCGACAGGCTTCATTCACAGCCGTGTAAAACAAAAACCTGAAGAGAAGCGGCCGTGGGCCCTGCAGCCTTTCTCCAGCGAGCGTGGGGAGGTTCTGGGCCGACAACTGGGACGGTCCTCGCGCGGCAGTACCTCCACGCAGCAGGTCGGGACGATGCTTGCTCGTGTCCAAGCAGATTCAGGCGCTGCCTGGGGCGTGAACAGGGTTTACTCCCCGTTTTCCCTGTTGGGCCACCTTCCTGCAGCCTCCCCTCTGCACTTCAGACCCTGGCACAAGCACCCTGCCCGGGGCTGATCCAAACCACCGCACGAAGCACCTGGGTTAACGCGGGCAGGTGCCACATTCGCTCGCTGGAGGAGAAGCGATGCCGAGGGTGGCTAACAGACCCCCCTGCAAGCAAGACCCCACCAGCCCAGCCCCGCAGCTGCCCACAGCAGCCACGCAAATTAAAGCCATTAATCTGGTTTTGTACCTCCCCCAGCCAGCCAGCGCAGCGCTTCACGGGGCTGCTCGCCGGAGGGGAGATGAGCACTGAACGGGGCACGGGGTGTGCTTTTCCAGCACCATCTCTGCCGACAGAGCTCAATCCTGGGCCAAAATGCGCCCCAGACCCCGGAGCAGGGGCAGCACCAGCCCTGGAGCTCCTCAGGGTGCAGGGAGCCGGGGCCGAGCAGCTCAGACACAGGCGTCTCCCCCGGGAACGTCAGCGTCGAAGGGAGCAGGACCCCAGCCCTCAGCTCGGGCTGCTCTGCCCACTCTGCCCCAGCCCCCACGAGGGGCAGCACCAGCCCTGGAGCTCCTCAGGGTGCAGGGAGCCGGGGCCGAGCAGCTCAGACACAGGCGTCTCCCCCGGGAACGTCAGCGTCGAAGGGAGCAGGACCCCAG